ATTGACGGGTCAAGTTGAATCCCCTCTTTCTCGTAGTACTCGCGAATATAAGTCTCTTTTTCAGCATCGGTGACTACGTTTGAAGGGTACCCGGATGCTTGTTGTTTCAAACGCAAAAACGTTTTAACGTATTCGCTAAACAATTTATCCGTCCTTACAGGAAAATGCCAAACTTCGTCGAGTTTGACGACTACATAGCCTTTCTCGATCGCTTTTAAGAGCTCAATACTGACCCAGCAGCCGGAAAGAGCCCTCTCGTCATCTGTGTGATCGCAGCATGATGTCTGGTTTTCTGCATGCGCGCATGTGCGACATAGCGGGAACATGAGTTTACCACCGCATCTGTAAGGTAGGACCGGGTGTAGTAATTTACGTGGCGGATACACTGTGGCTTTGATAAGACCGTAATAATTTTCAATCGGTTGAAAATCGTGGAAAATTATTTCCGGGTGACCTATCGGGTAACTCTTTCTTGATTGACAGAACGGGTATAAAGACGTAAAATCCAGGTAACTGATCTTCTCGCCATCGGACACTTTGTGATACAACTTATAAGCATTCGTGCGCCCCCCAAAAAGAGCATATCGGGGTTTCAGTCTCTCGGGAGCCGAATAAGTGCTCATAAATTCGATCACTGAAGCGTTTGTCTGCTTCATCTTAGTCCATTCACATTCCCAGATAACCTCTACCTTCATACCATGCAGACTTTGTAGAATTTCGACCTTTTCGTCAGACTGAGTTCTGAGAACACCGTACGGGACCAACGACAGTCGGTGTAGGTCGTGGGGCTCGTAGCGACATTCGTGCCCATGGTGGAAACAACCGTTGAATTCGAGAGCATACTTAACTCCGCCCTGTTCATAATAACCGTCTAAGAAAAATTTACCGATTTGCATTTCACCATGATTCAGAGCATGATGAACGTCGACGTTTCTAGACTTTTTCACATACTCCAACCATTCGATCGACACGCTTGAGAACGTCTTATTTTGTTGAATGTACGCATTATTGTGGGTTAGAGCCACAGTGTCCTCTACGAGATAATGAGTTTTGAAGACCCCCATACAGCAACTCGCAAGAGTCGTGAAACTGAACGGATCGATTTGAGTACACTCTATGAAGGATTCGCGGTATTTCATACACGCTTCGCGTAGCAAGATAACGTCGTTTTCACCATATTGGTATAATTGCTCCTTAAAGTCAAAGACCGAACGTGAAGCAATAGTGTACCATGCGTCGAACTTTGCACGATCTTTTTCAGATAGGTTGTCATACCCATAGAACTTTTTGTCTGGGATCGGACCGATATAGTTCTCATTTTCTTTTCTATTGAAATGATGCGGAAAGTAACCTTTCTCCGTCGTGGTGAGATTTAATGCCGCGGGCATCTTCGATAGAGCCATCGGGATGAATGATATGCTATCGATGTAGCGGTGTTCGAACACATCATCGATCATTAATATTAATTTACAACCTTGCATGATGATGTCCATTTTTAGACCGGCTTTGCAGTAATATTCAAGAATTAGTCAAATCTGGACGCGTTATGAGCTATAAAACAGTAGCCTTTGTATCTGGGTTTTCTGAAATGCGTAATCATTTTTTCAACACAATCAGTTCCTTCAGCTACAAATCTTGTACCGCGAAATGTTATCGCGCAGACAAAATTAGCAACGTGCCTACCATTTTCATAACGGGTCTCAAAATCGTAAAAAACATATTTTTTCTGTGGTTTTTTGAGTATTTCAGGCTTGATAAAACATTCATGCACCCCTGCGCTGGTAAGTTCTTCACGGCATGCCCAACAACGGATAGGGGCGCACACATGCGGAGACCGGTACTTTTCGTAACGTCTACCGCATTGCTTACAGTATTTTATAATGTCACAAGGCACTTTACCTCTTTCAAGCACCTTTGTCTTGTGAGCATCGTAGCAGTAAGCCGATTTGCAATAACGCAGACAATCGCGGCAATGGATGGTTTTTTTAGGATGCTTGTAGCAATCACTGTCAAAACAGACATTACAGACGTAATCGCATTGGTGGTGATTAAGCTTCGAGAACCCTTTATAGCAAAATTCACAGACATAGCTAGCGCCTATGAAAGATGTCAAATTGAGAATCATGTAGTAATGTTCGTCTTGTAGATAAAGGAACAACGTTTTGGGGTGCGGCTCTTTGTTATTTACGTAGGTTTGTAACACGCCAGTGTTTAACCTATAAAAAACAACAATTTTTACATCAAACAGTCGTTCAAATCTATCAATGTCGTGAAGACCTACTTCCTGTTGGATAGCAAGACCAGCTTTATCGTGTATGATCGCTGCACGGTTTTCTAATTCACACTCAGGTAATTCAGGCTCTAGAAAATGTGCTAGACATATAGAGAAGCATAGTTTGTTTGATATGTTTGTAGGTATAAACAAGCTCGTTTTTTTTCTTTTGATTACCTGATCAAATGCCAAATCAGTGAGTTTACGACGACCGCCTCCTAGTCTGTTCATTACAACATCAGCTTCAATCTCGACAGTTTCGTTAGCTGCTAACTGGTCATCGCTCTGTAGAATTTTCACAATTTGGTCCATAAAAAGATTAACGTCATAATTATTACTCGGTGTTAAAACAGCGTTTACATCGGATTTCAGAGATGGGGTTCTAAGGCATAAATTGATAACGCTACCGTCACCGCCAATCTGTCTAGCAAATGACACTATGTCATCCATTGTATTGTGTAAACGTATGTGGTACGTCGCTAAATCCTGCGATCTTATTTCACTCATATTTAAAGACCTACGCAGCGATACGCTGTTGAAACGAGGTCTTGGTAAAACGTGATATTCATTTACACTACCACCTTCTCTCAACAATGTTTCAATGTCGATATGTTGTTGACCTAAAGGTTCAACATTAGCGGATGTTGATGGTTGCTGATCATTGTCGACGGCCGGGTGCGGTGTTTTGTTATTACACGTATCATTTATCGCACGACTAGTCGTCGGCTGTTCATGATCAATCGCGATAGCTGACGGCATACCGTTAGTGTCGTTATAAGGAGTGGCATCCTGAGTTAGTGCCCCACCGCCCTGTTCGGTAGATAATAACGTTTGTACGTAGTCTGATAAATTAAATTCACTTTCCTGATCCATCTCATCTAAATTTGGACTTAATATAGAATCGAAGTTAAAAGCATCGTCCATAGAATTTAACTGCAAATCATCTAAGAATCTATCTGTGTCAGGATCGATAGACCTTTGTGGTGTAACAGATAATGATTGATCTGGTTGATTTTTGTGTGCATCATCTGAGGTATTTACGTTACCCATTACAGTTATTTTATTTACTTGATTATTATTTTGAATTTAAAATGTTTACTTTATTGTTTAAATTAATGATTACTTTTATTGAATATCGTACCATAGAATTTATTTAATCTTTTAGTTTTATTTATAGTTATGTTTAATTAATATTTTTTACAAACTTTTATTTTTATTGACTAGTTAAAATTATTTTTATCCTTTATTTTAAAATTATTTTATTTTAATTTTTAATTTAATATTTATAATCAGATTTGTTTTAGTTTTATTAATATTTTAATTCTTTACTTTTTAATTTTTATGTTGATATTATTGTTTTTATTGATTGTTTATAGTTAAGTTTGTTTTAGTATTATTAATATTTTATTTTTTATTCTTTACTTTTAATTATTTTAGGTATGACTTTTTAATTATTTCGGGTATTACTTTTAAATGTGTTAATATTTTCTTTATTTTATTTATTGTTGTACACCTGGCTTGTTTTATTAATTTTATTTTCAGATATACTTTATGGTTATATTATTGTTTTTTATTATTTTATATTTTATTCATATAAAACGGACACAATCTAAATCTATTTTATTAGAAAGGCATTAACAACAATATCAGTAATGGTATAAAAAGATAATTGTAAAGAAATACACAGTATGAATCGATAGAAATAACCAATTTAAAACTAAATCAGAAATAAACAAATCAGATATTTTAAATGTGAAACTAAAAACAGTATTAAACAATATAGAATTGAATTTTAAAAAATGTAAAACAGAAAAAATTAAAGAAATAGAAATATTTTAATTGAATAACTAAAACAGTATTAATAATATTGAATAGAATTTATATCTTAATCAAAGATGATTAAATGTATACATTGAAACAGTATGAAACAAACCAAATACAATGTTTAATTGTAAACTCAAATTGAAAATCTTTTAAAATGTACAATCAAAAACAGAACTAGTTGATTAAAATCGGGTTCGACGATAGAGCTGGGTCCTGTTAGTGTGAGATCATCGGTTTGTTGTGGTTGGAAAACGTGGTCGCCGCCATGATTGTTTTCTTCCTCCTTTTCCGGCTCGTCTTCTTCTTCTACTACTAAAGACGGGTATGGTGTATATGCAGGACTGCGACCGCCACCTAGCGTTGAGGCATAACCATCGCTGGATTCACCGTCATCCGACCAGCGTTGAGGGCTTGGTGCTAAAACATCATTAAAAAGAAAAAGTCTTTAATATATTGTTTAGAAAGTCGTAATTTTACATTTAATAAAATAAAACACTCACAATGTTGTGCCTCAATACTGCATTCAGAAGGTCCGTTGGGGCTGCTAGCCGGAGACGTGGGAACTAGAGGAGAAATGCATATATAATGTAATTTAAATTAACAGAAATGTGTACACATCATATCCGATTAATGTATTTTCACAGTTAATAAAACACTTACATTGTTGTATTTCAAAAACACTTTCCCGAGGTCCGAGCGGGCTGGTATCCGGTGATCGCGGAACGAGAGTAGAAGCAGATAGTGCATATTCAGAAAAAAATTCAAACTAGCTCTAGCATGAAACATTCAGCATGGACGGGGCGCACAATTCAACAGTTATAAATTACATAGATTTAAACCGTATAAAACAAGATAATACATTACCTAAACGAGCTTCGTCTTCATCATCACCATCGTATTCAATATGTTGATCCTGTACGTCGGTATAAATTTTCAGCCTCTTGTTTGAAACAGGGCTAAAGTTATAATCAAGGCGTCTTTTTTCCGGCCGTGTCGAGCTGACCAACGTGGCTTGGACCAGATCGGTGGCTTCTTGCTCGTCCTCCGCTGTTAAATCAATGACCTCGATTATATCTGAAACATAAAAGTGAAAATATTGTATTAATAACGTTTAGATTATCTATAGCTGCAGCATTCTAGAGATACTGAATGACCAAAATCACACGACTATTTCTGTGGCCTGTATGAAAAGCGCTCGTCTTCGGGCCACGTGTGTTTTCTAATCGGGTTTCGAATACACGCTAGGATACAAAGGGCCTAGAATTTTTTATTTAAATAAAACATTTACCTTCTTCCCTTTGGGCGTCAGCATTGGATCGAGGCCACGCTACGAGATAAAGCAGAAATGTATGATTTAAAACAGCCGTTTATATAACATATAAAATATCCGTATAAAACAGTATTTACTCACAGAATTGGTTGATGGCTTCAAAAGCATCAATCTCTGATGAATTTAATTCTGTAACATAAAAGCTGATAGATTGAAAATATTTCAGGTCACAGTATGACTGACGAAGTATTACTTAATGTAATGTATTACAGCATAATAATATTATTTTACTTACGACGAGCCATGCTTCCTCAAAAAGTTTAGTGTAGACTAGAAGAGGTTGTGAAGGAGACGAATCACATCAACAGGCGATGACCAGATGAATAACTTTCCCTTGGTTGTCTGCTGTATTTAAGTATAAAGATGTGGGGGTCGTGCCCAGGTGTCGGAGAGAGATAAGAACCATAAAAACTACTCGAATGTATTACTTTCAAGATCACAAACACGGACTTTTATATAATAGTAGAAATAAAAATATCTTTTATATATTATGACAGCTAGTTTATAGATTATTTAATTTATTAAACAGTATCGTTAAAACCTGATATAAAGTAATGGAATAACTCGAATGTAGGGTTAAATAAAGTATATATATATAGTCGTGTATGTATTATATAACGCATATCTTTAATATTGAATCATTTCACTTTATATGAATGAAATTAAAAACATTGTTATTTTCTAACATTGTAGTCGGATATAATCAAGCATCCGGAAACATTTTAACAAGCAATATTACTGTTTTAATGGCTGCATAAATACGTGGTTATTTTAATTAAAATATCAGATGTGTTTAGATAAAACATGGAATATGATAATTGTAGCTAATACGGTCTTTTAGACTATTGCATCCAAGTTGGTGTAATACACTCGTTTATTATTTAGATAAGGTTAAACATATTTAATTTAACAGGGTGAAAATAAGGGAATAACCGAATTTATGTATTTGCTGAGTAAACACTAGATGGCGCTAGAGGTCTATGTTTGTGCTCAGAGACCCATGGCGCTTATCGGCATCAAAAGACCTTAGCGGAACCACCCGCTGTTCGTGTTCACAGATGTGTTCGGATCCTTACTGTGTTTATTACAACGGACAACGGCTATAACCTTATCGTAGAGACCTGTAGGCGCTTCATGCAGCGCTGAGGAAATTAGTTCGACTGAGGTGCCGCACGACTGTTTGCATAACAGACAGCCAAATTCAAAGAAACGTAAACGCAGTTTAATGTTTGTATCAAATAAAATTAAATAGACTAAAACAAGACGTTCAGTAATGATTATCTGACGTATGCCAGATTATTAACGTAAACAACATACATCCTACTTGCGGCAATCATTAAAATGATGTAAGAGGTTATCTTTAGCATGGATTAAAATATGTAACAACGGGGTATTGAGTTAAACATCATACCAAAATGATGATGGTTTATTAATTACAGTTTCTTGAATTCATTTCTTCCTATATCTCTATATTGAGCCAAAATAATATAACATTCAAATCGTGTCGAGTGTTTATAATAATATTTAATATTCATTGTGTATGATTTTAAATTATTTGTAATTGAACATTTATTCGCAGCTTACATCATAGATAGATAGATTAAAAAATTGTACGAGATAAACTTTACGTTAGAAATGGGTCTTACAACAGAGTTATTCGTTTATTGTTTTATTATAACATTTAATTAAAGTTAAATATTTGATATTCATTGTGTAGGAATATAAAATATTTGTAATTGAACATTTATTCACAGTTTGCATCATAGATAGATTAAAAAATGCATGAGATAATCTTTACATTATACAACACAGTTAATCGTTTATTGTTTTATTATAACATTGAAATAAAGTTAAACAACCATAATAATAACGATGGATGAATATTTCTCAATGTTGAACAATCATTGTCTCATTCGCACAGATAGAGAGACATACAAACAGACCGAGAGCCGTACCAGAGAGACGCAAACAGATATAAAAACACAAAGTCTCACGCTTTAACAGCCGGAAAGAGCCGGACTGAACGATAACCATGTAAACGGACGTTTGCGTTTTATTTAACAACCGATGTCATAATGTTCACTTATCAGATACACGCATACGGCGTAACAGCCATCAGATGTATTTTATCTTTCTCAGGCACGCTTCAACCGGTTCAAATTTCCCGCACACACACACACACACACACAGGCACAGCCAGAGCCTCTCGACACACCCACACCCGAGCCGGAGAGACGCACACACATACACAGACACGCAGTTCTGACCATAACAGAGCAAAGGCAACACACCGGTGCATATACCTTAGTTTATTAATTCTAACATAATATATTAACATAATATATAATTTAAAACAATAATGACAATATAATATTGTATATTTATAATAACTGAATTGATTACATTAATTAAAATATAATACTGTATAATAGCGTGTAATATAGATTTAATAAACGGTTGATTTAATTTATTTCATTAAAATCTATTTCATAATATTAAAATATCTCATTTTAATGTAATAATAACGGAATTATTAATTTTATTCAATTGATAAGAATCTGATTAACGGAATTATTAATTTAATTAAAATGATAAGAATCTGATTAACGAAATTATTAATTTAATTAAAATGATTAGAATCTAATTACCGGAATTATTAATTTAATTCAACTGATAAGAATCTAATTAACGGAAAGGGGCGGGGTTTACACCGGAAGCCCCGCCCTAAAAGGGGCGTGGCCGTCATCAATCAAACTTTTTGACACATGCCACCGGATATTACTCTCTCTTACATTCACTGTGTTTCTACTTTTATGTTTGATTTGTAATTTTAAAAGGTTCTGAGTGAATCTGCAGTTTGTGCTTCAACATTGCCTAATGTTTCATTTCTCCATTTTATCTGTCATTCTACAATGAGCTGTTAAAGTTTTAACACCAATGTTTAAGATAAAGGTTTAAGGTTCCTCTGTTTAAGGTGTAAGATTCTTTAGATGTGATGTGTGTGTTTTCAGTTTTCTAGATCTGTTGGTGTTTGGTCTATTTATGTTTTGCTCTAATCATACAAATCAGTCGTTCTCAAAATGAAGGTCAGGACCCCCTGAGGGGTCGCAGGACAATAAGGGGGGGGTCACCTTGTGATTTCCAGATATCTATTTATTATTATTAAACCATAGGAATTAGCATATTTTATCCATAACCTACTAAAAATAGTCGTTTATTTACATTTAGTCATTTAGCAGACGCTTTTATCCAAAGCGACTTACAAATGAGGACAAGGAAGCAATTTACACAACTATAAGAGCAACAATGAATAAGTGCTGTAGGCAAGTTTCAGATGTGTAAAGTCTAAGAAGGAAAGCATTAGTAATGTAAGTTTTTTTTTTTTTTTTTTTTTTTTAGTACAGTTAGCGGTGGAGCCAGAGAGGCAATTGCAGATTAGGAAGTGAAGTGGAGACTAAATAGTTGAGTTTTTAGTCGTTTCTTGAAGACAGCGAGTGACTCTGCAGTTCTGATGCAGTTAGGGAGTTCATTCCACCAACTGGGTAGATTGAATGCGAGCGTTCGGGAAAGTGATTTCTTCCCTCTTTGGGATGGAACCACTAGGCGACGTTCATTTACAGAATGCAAGTTTCTGGAGGGCACATAAATCTGGAGAAGTGAGAGCAGATAAGAAGGAGCAAGGCCAGAAATCGCTTTGTAAGCAAACATCAGAGCTTTGAATTTGATGCGAGCAGCAACTGGCAGCCAGAGCAAACAGATGAGCAGCGGAGTGACATGAGCTCTTTTAGGTTTATTAAAGACCACTCATGCTGCTGCGTTCTGGAGCAGCTGAAGAGGTTTGATAGAGTTAGCTGGAAGCCCTGCTAGTAGAGAGTTGCAGTAATCAATAGTTACTATATACTACTGACCAGTTGGATGCCCGCACTCATCGGATTGTTTTCCATTTCCCCTGTTACCATCCCCTGTGTCAATGTTGTGTCCTGCTCATGTGTACTAATAAAGGGGGTGTTTTTTTTGCCTAACTGTCCAGATGTATCTTACTTCGTTTCTGAATGCTACCTCCTTTGACCTGTCTCCCCTGAAGATTGATGTTTGTGTATGGTCGGGGGTTCAATTTCACTATATAAAAGTGTATGTGACAAATATATACACATACACACACACACACACACACATATATATATATGTGTGTGTGTGTATATATATATATATATATACATACATACACATACACACACACACACACACACATACATACATATATATATACACACACATACATATATATATATATATATATGTAACCCCGCCGGTCCTACGCCACACAACCTGCTCCGAGCTGGTATCGAACTGGCGACCTTCCGCATGGGAGTCGGGTGCTCTACCAGGGAGGCTAAAGACCGTGGCCTTTAGCATCTGTCGCTAGAGCACCTTTAGAGGTCAGAGGAGTGAGGTTTACCTGCACAGCACACACTAGCTGGCCTCCGTTACATATACATACACACATATATATATATGTGTGTGTGTGTGTGTGTATTCAAATATAGTTCTTCAGTTATTTTCCTTTGGCTTAGTCCCCAAATATCAGGGGTCAGCACAGCGAAATGAACTGCTAACTTTTCCAGTGTATGTTTTACACTGTGGATGCCCTTTCAGTGACAGCTTAGCACTGGAAAACACCCATACACAGTCATACAATACGGCCACTTTAGTTCATCAATTCCCCTATAGTACTTTTGTTTGGACTGTGGGGGAAACCGGAGCACCCAGAAAAAAACCAAGCCAACTGTAGAATCCCCACAACAGATTAATTACTGTAGTTGTTACTATAGCAACTATAGAAGTACACAGGCAGAACATACAAACGCCACACGGAAATGCCAACTGACCCAGCCAGTACTTGAACCAGAGTCCTTCATGCTTTGAGGCCACAATGCGACACCACTGTGCCGCCAATATAGTTTTTAATATATGAAATGTCAATCGTATTTTGTAATATGTGATTTTAATGTTAACTATTGATAATATTACAGGTAATATATATATATTTTTATTAATAATTGAACTTTGAGAGGAGGAAAAACATAAGAGCCCTGAAGTCTATAAACTGCTTGTTTGCATCAGCTGCGGCCTCCTTGACCCAGATAACATTCTCAGGCTGTGGAGGAGAAACATGATTCCACTGACGGGATCAGAATCTAATGCCTTGAGCCACCGTCACATGCTCCAGCACTCGCTCCAAAGATTTTAATGGCCCAGAATGAGCCAGAAAAGTCAGACACAGACAAGAGAAAGATCACAGAACAGATGACACCCACCCTGACCCCCCTAAAAAATATCTAAAGAAAAAAAATTGTGCAAAAGATGCAGACCTGAGAATAGAACAACAGGTGATTTCTTCCATGCTGTTTAAGGCTGAGGTGAAAATATGTGCAAATATTTTCAAAAAGTAGATCAGGTTCAGGCACATAAGTTAGTAATGCATTTTCAGACAGGGTGATCTTATTAAATTCAACACAGCATTTTTTTTTTTTTTATTAAT